CCGGCGTGGCCACCCCCCAGTCTCGGCTACTCCGCAGGCCTCTCGGGAAACCCTCCTGCAAGCAGCACAACTTCTGCAGTGGGAGCAGCTCCGGCACCTGGCCAAAACAGGGCAGACGGGGAAGATCAGCGAGTGCATGGTAAGCACGGCCCCAAAGCCCCCAAGGCCCGGGGCCACCCGACGCCTCTGCCCCATGCCCATTGTATGGGGCGCTGGGACCCACAGCTCGGCTGCTCGCCCTCTGCTGCCGCCTGCAGCCCCAGCCTGGAGCTGCCCACAGGGGCTCTTGCCTCGAGGGCCCAGCCCTGACCGGCTCTTCTGCAGGCCCCTGTGCCCTCAGTGCCTCTTGGCGGCTGATGGGGCACCTGCTCCCGCTGGGCCTGGCAGCGGCACAGGGGGCTCTCAGCACCTGCCGCCTCTGCTCCGTCCTGTGGTCCCTGCGCCCCTCATCGCCGGGTGGCCGCTGCCTGGGAGCTGTGACCGCGCTGGCCCAGGAGGGATGCGGAGGGTGTCCCTGGGAGGAGGGGTGGGCCTGGCCCCCTGCAGAGGGTCTGTGCCATGCCTGTGCCCTTGGGCTCTCTGCAGCTGGCCCGGTACAGGAGCAGGGCAGAGGACTACGTGGGCCAGAGCCTACCGTTCCTGCAGGACCCCCAGGCATCGTTGCGAGAGGCGGCCGTGAGGTTCATCGGTGAGCCACAACAGCCGGGGTGGCCCTCTGAGGCGGGGCGGCCTCAGGTGCCTGCAGCCCTGCCTGTTTGGTGGTGGCCTGAGGCGCCAGGGGCTCCGGGTCTCCCTCTCCCACCCTTGCCCACGCGCACAGGCTGCTGGGAGCCCTGTTTGGTGGCACACACCCTGGTTGGGTGCTGCGCTGTGCTGCACGGGGGTCAGCCCTGCCCAGGGGGAGGAGGGCCCGTGGCCAGGCTGGCCGGGCAAGTGGGAGCTGTGCTGCTGAGAGCACGCGGAGGAGCGTGAGCAGGGACGGCTGTGTGGGCCTAGGGGCGGCCCCGCGGCCCAGGA